ACAGCACCACTTCCGGCTTTTTTCTTTTTTTTGCTTATGTGGTGCTGAGGAAACGAACCCAGGGCCTCATGCATGCAAGGCAAGCACTGAGTGGTAGCACTGAGCCACCTTCCCAGCCCCCTAAGTTTCCTTTTTTTCCCCCAGATTTTTAATGTTTTCATAATAGAGGTCATTCACATCCGAGGGTTTTTTTTTGTTTTTTAGATTATTAAAATGGAGTTGCTTTCATAATTTCAGTTTTGATTTTCTCATTGTTGACATACAGAAAAGCAACTGACTTTTGTGGGTTAATTTTATACCCTGCCACTTTAACAAAGTTTCAGATCAGCTCAAGTAACTTGGGGGAGGAGTATATAGGATTCTTTAAAGACAAGATCATGTCATCTGTAAAGACAGATAGTTTTGCTTCTTTCCCTATTTGGATCCCCTTTGTTTTTCTCTTGCCTTATTGCTCTTGCTAGGAATTCTAGTACTATGCTGAAGTAGAGTAGCGAGATTGGACACAAGATGCATTTTCAATTGTTTTGCTGGGTATGTATACCCAGAGTGCCAGAGTGCAGGAAGCTGCATAGATCTCATTATTTTGAGCTAGGTGGCATGCTAATATGTGGTCTTGTATCCATGAGAAAGTCACAGGCTTCCCATTCCAAAGCTCAAGACCATCCATGTTTGATGGACAAGGAGGAGTTATGGAATGGGCAGGTTCTCCTCACAGCTGGAGCAGCTGCAAGATAGGATAGCATTGCCGTCTTCCCTGCCTCCACTGACGCGTGGTCTGGAGCTGGTACTTTGTGGGGTTCCAAGAGTTTGGGAAGGTCTCTGCTGCTGGGCCATATGCCATTGCCACTCTCCAAGGTGGAGGCCACTGTCACCAGAGCAGTGACCTTACTAAGTACATCCAGGCAGGTGTAGAGAAAGCCCTACCTGACCAGTTGTTCTGCAGTGATGCTTCCCAGAAGGCTGGTGTTCTGGACATCTGGCACTCTAGGGTGTACAGGCAGGTTTCTACATCTCTTGTCTCTAGCCCAGCCCAGCTTCCCAGGTCATGGCCTCTTGTCTGCACTAGCTCAAGTCACCTGTCTGTGGTGCCTACCTCCTAGATGCTGGGTACCACATTTAAATCATGATGAGGTTCAGGTTTGAGGAAAGATAGGAAGATATAGATGAGTCATTCAACATTTTCTGGATTCTCAGCTTTAGTCAAGTGCCTCTGGTTGTGAAGTCAAGTCTCCGACTTTTTATCTGAAGAAAGTGAAGTGAAGAGAATTTCCTCTTGAGAAAATAGCTTTTCCTTACATGAAGGAATCATATAAATACCCAAGTAGAACCTGGCAGACTCTGTAACACCCAAATTTTCAGTGAACATCATTGGTTTTATTTTATAAGCAAAATCATATCTATTTAAAAGTGAGAATATTTTTCAGAAAAAGTCTCAGATATGATTGTAGGACATATTCATTTTCTATTGTCTACCTCTACTGTACACTCACCACGGTCAGTCATTCTCACGATCTTCACAGATTAGGCCTGGAAACATACTTTAATGGAGAAATATGCTATTAAATTTCAAAGCGATTCAGAAAGATATTGCAAATTGTATTTCAACTTTACTTTTAAATATCATTGACAAAAATTCTAAGATGAAATATTTGAGCAGCACATGACACCATGTAAATATTTGAATATGATAGAAAATGATAGTAATGATTCATCCTACTTTCTCGACTACCACTCAAATATGTATTCTTCATGGAAGACAAACAATTTCACTGTTTTCTAAATGAGATTAAAGTTATTTAACACTGTAACATTTCATTAAATTTACCTGATTTTATTTTGTTACATTAATTTAGAACTTTGATATTAAGCAAACTTTTTCAGCTATTGGCCAACTGAAAATATAGGGACATATACTATTATGCTTTTGTATATTTATGTATGTATATGTAGATACATGTTAGACATATAAATATACACATACCTGGTTGCATATTCTTTTAAAATGAAATCCTGAATATTGACATACTGAGATATGAAAATTTAAATTCTGAAATGATTATTTAGTGAAAGGTGAACGTTTAAATACTGAACTGTGGCTTTCCTATGATGTGGCCAAGTATCTGTAGCTGTGCATTCAAGAACCACCTTGTGATGGTATACTTTTTTTTTTTTTTTTTTTGCGGTCTTGGACCTGAACTCTGGGCCTAGGCGCTGTCTCTCAGCTCTTCAGCTCAAGGCGAGCGCTCTACCGCTTGAGCCACAGCACCACTTCTGGCTTTTTCTGTTTATGTGGTGCTGAGGAATTGAGCCCAGGGCCTCATGCATGCAAGGCAAGCACTCTACCACTGAGCCACCTTCCCAGCCCCGATGGTATACTTCTTGACACCACTCAATCCATCATCAATAGGCCAGGTACCCACCCCTTGTAAACAGAAAATATGTTGGCCTTCCTTATCATGTAGTTCTTAGTGCCTTGGACATTTTTCTGCAAGTTCTTTCAACATCCTGTCAAGCCTGCATGATCCTGTTCTGTTACCCCATCCCCACCCCCTCCAGGTCCCTGAGGACCAGAAGGTCAAATAAGAGCTTGTCATGGGGTTTGCCGAGAAGCCAAGCCACAGTCTCACTCTATGGGACTGGATTTTCCAAGGAGCTTTAGTGCATCTCAGGGCGCAGTGTACTCGGGAGCTAGGCAAAGAAAAAAAGCTACTAAGTTTTTTCCTAAATGGTAGGATTTATTGTAATACTCACATATAACTGAGACAAATTATTTACATAAAGTATAAGTACAAAAAATATAATACATTTTATATTGTACATAATTAGGATTCTCTGACTTTGTCTCCCTCCCTTGAATGTTGGCAGAAAGAGATGAGAGGGAGAATAAGAGGGGGGCTAGAGAAGGAAGATGGCGGCATAGGGTAGTATTCAGGGAGATTCTTTGTGAATTGTTTAAAAAAGTGAATAGGGTGGAAATGAAGATCTTGGTAATGCATCAAGGTTAGTGAGCACACATTTTCACTGCTGGAACCATGGCCAGTTGCAGGTTTATGACTGTGTAGAGCAGGTAGGTTCTAATGTTATCCGGGGAAGGCCCCAATACCCCATTCACCTCTTTCCTGAAGCTCCACATTTAATCCAATGCAAGAAAGAATAAGCCCCTTCCTAGATTACCACAATTAGGGCCTTAAACTGATATTTCCTGATAACACTGTATCAGGTGTCAGTAAATTTAAGACCAGAAAAGTGACTAATAGAAACTAAATAAAAAAGGTAATACCACTAGAAAATGCACTGGCTCATGTCTAAAAGGTTCAAAGGGAATCTTAAAAACCAAATGTCGGAATTGAAAAATTTCAAAAAAGTGTGGTGTGCAATCACTTGTGAGGAAACAAAGAACCAACCCACCAACAGTCCCACAGAGAAAATTCCATTTTCTCGTTCCAATGGAGGAGAAATGCAAAGCTATTTCACTCTTGAAAAGGCTGTTATTATCATTAGTCAACATTGTCTATTACAATTAATTGTGAGATCACTAACTCTCTGCAAGTTAGTTGATGAATTGTTGAAGTTATTTTGGAGCAGTTTCAATGAAAGAAAAGTTATAAAGAAACCATCTCAAATAAGTTTATTTTGTATCACAAAACAGGCAACAGCATATAAACACAAAATAAGCCATAACATGTTTAAAGTCAAACCAAGTGGCATCACACGTAACTTCTGCCACACACTGTTGAAGAATCCAAAACTGGACCTCGCTTGTGCATTTTCTGACCAATGGTGAGGGCGTGAGTGGTGCTTCTGGGAACCTGGGACGAAGGTTTCTGCTATGCTTTCTTTCAAAGTGCAGAAGTTCAAGTTTGATTTTACTCCAGTCATGGAATAAGATAAAACCAATCAACTTTAGCATAAAAAAAACATTTGATTGGCTGTTTTTTCATGTGTGTGTGTGTGAGTTTTGACATTGGAATAAAATGATGAAATATAGCAGGCAGTTTTCTAGGTGGTTCTTTTCCATCCTCATTGTCTTCTACCAGCTGTTGGCAGCCTATGTCTGATTTTCCTATAGCCACAGAAACAAGCCCTCTGACTTTCACAGGCATCATATTGACATTCCCATTAAGAAGAGACACAAGAGTTTTCTGGAAGATGAAATCATGTGAAGTCAACCTGTGGAAGCTGAGTGTGCTAGCCTCAGTTCTGAACACACCACTGTCCCGCTCTGAGATGCTTGGCCACTTTCTATTCCTGAGTTCAGAGAGGCACGCAAGCGATCGGCTTCCAACTCTCCAATCAACTCTCTGCTTCTCCTGGCAACCAAGTACACCCAGTGGTAATGACGAGTCATCATTTAAACAAGGCACTAGCAACTCTGTACAAGGAAGTAAATCATCTGCATTTGTAGAGAAGATAGCTCAACATTGCTTTAAGTATGACAGAAACATTTTACCATTTTCCAGGATCCAGATTTCCTCTCAGCTCTTGTTTATTTAACATTTGAACTAGTTGACAGGAGTCAGAAATCTGAGCAAGGAGAGGGTCACAATGAAACACTAGCCTCAGATTTCTGATGAGATAAGTAGAGGTGACTTTCTTGCCCAACTTACATTTTGGTTTAGAAATGCCACAGACTGTGTTTTCACCTCAGCTTTTCTCCTTCTGGATTTGAACATGTCCTTGACTAGGTATGTTCACTAGGTGAACACAGTTGAGTATGAGTGAGCATGAGGAACAGGCTTGAATGTAGCAGAACATGATCATTTAAAAAGACTACAGTCTAGCCTGGCGTTGGTGGCTCATGCCTGGAGTCCTAGCTACGCAGGAGCTGAGATCTGAAGATCATGGTTCAAAGCCAGTCTGGGCAGGAGAGTCTGTGAGACTCTTTTCTCCAATAAACCACCAGAAAACTGGAAGTGGCTCTGTGGCTCAAGTGGTAGAGCACTTGCCTTGAGCTGAAGAGCTCAGGGACAGCACCCAGGCCCAGAACTCAAGCCCCATGACCGACCAAAAAAAAAAAAAGACTACATTCTAACAAAAGGCTTCCATAGGGAACTTTGCACTTTGGGCCAGGCTCTGAATTCGGTTTTCATGGGTTTCTATGTAATTCATAGTGCGAACTATATTTTAAAATGAGAACAGATCTGCATTCCTGGTGTTTTATAATATATGCCACATTTCTGTTAATGTGATGAGTAATGAAAAAATTTCAAAAAAGAGCATTTTGATCCATCTCCTAATAAATGTGTATCTGTAATGTTATATGAGCCATTGTCAAAGTTGCTACCAAGAATTCAATATGATCTCTTGTTCATTGCTTTTCAATTTCTAAAAGGGAAAAGAAGCAAGGATCAAAGTAATATTTTCCTTTATTAGGCTATCAGAACAGACAACATGAAGGCCGTGGCTCAGTATTTGTAGAGTTATGAAATGTCTTTAAACCAAATTGAATTGATGATCACAATAAGAGGGAATAGCAGAAGTAAGTGTGAGAATGGTGGCTAGTCTATCTTACATAGCAATATACTGTGCATAGTAGACCCTTTTGTGCATTTCTTAGGTCAAAATGAACATGAAGCTTTACAACTCCACACCCATTGCCCAAAGATGCAGGGTGCTGGAAATGGCTTCTAGAATCTGACCATTTATAACGTTAGGTAATCGCAGGAGAATGACAGATGATCACATACATATGGATGTGCTACATCAATGTAACGGGGGTGAGGGCGGCTGATTGTGTTGGGCATGACCAGTGCCATCTATGAATTCCACAGTTTGCAGCTGAGTTGATTCAAGGTTGCTGTTTTAACTAAATGTCTTATAAAAATGGTTAAATTAATAGAACAGTAGGGCTCAACATCGTCACATCACTTGCAAAAGTGGCAGCGTGAATACTGTGTGAACACTGGCGGCTGCGGTCTCTGGTTGGAGGCCCACAGGCTTCTTTTGTGGCAGCAGTAGTGTACTTAGTAGTTAGCCCATGTTCCACTCAGAATGAGGAAGCCTCCCTGAGATGGAAGGGCACCTCAAAGCTAGAGAAAGCTGATTGTCCTGGGGCCAAATTGACCGAGGGGCTTGAAAGCATCATGGAAATTCTCAAAGAAAACAGTAGACAATCATAAAAATACTTTTAAAGTCAAAGCTAACTCAAATCATACTAAACCACCTGCTATTCTCATCAATAATAGAACAGCCTGGAAGGGAGTGGTGGCGAGGAAATCGAGGAAACCCGAGAGACAGGGAACTAGAAGTGAGTCTTGCTTCCTTTTCACTCTGTGTGTTATCCATGAAATGAACCCCCCTGGGGGGTGGGGAAGGTTGGGTCGTGAAGTAAGATGGATTAAAGTCCAGCTTGGATGCCATTTAGAAAGCATTTCTCATCTAGTCTAGTGACAAGTTCTTGAAATATTAGTATCCTTTGCAAGAAAAATAGGATGACCTTTCAAGCTAAGAAAATATTCAGGAGGGGGAGATTAAACAAAACAAAAGCTATGTGCTACACAATGAGGAATTTCTCCTTAAGAATCAATCAGGCAGGGATCTGCTATATTTGTGTGACTGGATTTTACTGCAGGAGTGTGACCGAGAACGTTGCACAAGGAATGTGTCAGAGGCCGTGTGGAATCTCACCAGCAGACTCCTCAAGACCTCGGCAGCCCACCTGCTGTTTTCACGATGTCTGCAAATCTGGTTTATCTGAAGATATTTTGAACTCCAGAATTTCATTATCAGGATTTTTCTAACACTTTCTGAGACTGCTTCTTTACATCAAATATTGGGTAAAACATACGCTACAAAATGTGTGTTCCTCACCTCCCAGAATGCACCTCTTCACAGACTGGCAGTTTCATTCACCCATAGGAACAGGTATTAATGTCTATTTAGGCATTTCTTCTCATAAGGGCCACAGGGGGCAGACAAACCTTCTCAATGCTGCCTTTACTGTTCACATGACTGCCATAGGCTGCGTGTCAGCTGTTAAGGAGTAACACTGATTGTTTGGGGGAACCTCGAGGAATGGTCTTATAAATAGTTGGAAATGTTAACCAAAGATGAATGGTTGAGACCACAAGCATCGTTTGACCTCTCATTTTCAGCCCCAAACTTCCCAGGGTGAACTTGAACCACCATAGCCTCCAAGGAGAGAGGGGCCGGGTGAGTTGCGCGTGGGGCACAGGCAGGGAAACAGGGTGGACTAAAAGAAAAGGCGTTGAGTCCAGCCCTGTGCCTCCCCTGCCCGGGGCAGCAGGTGACCGGGGGCACTGGGACATCACTTCCTGCCTGGAGGATGGGCTCTCCACAGTACTTGCCATACATTAGCTACACCAGGGAGGTGGAAGAGAAAGGAAAGAGGCCTGTGTCTCAGTCTCACATCTTTCAACACTTGGAATAATACCACAGAAGACATTTAAACAGTCATTGTTCGGTACAGTGCAGTACTTTCAATACTTTCCCAAATCGGTACCCTAAATGTTCCAGATGTTTCTGTGCAGGTAGATGGGAAGTGTTGGTCTCCCTGGGCTCCATCCGCTCACTCCTGGGTGATGATGCACAGAATGCCCACGGTCAGGCTGCAGCAGGTGCAGGTCCCAGGGTCCTGGGCCCCGGGAAAGAATCATCCTCATATCCGGAATCCATGGTCTTCACGAGGGCAAATGCTAGCAGCTGCGTGGAGGGAGAGGCATCTCGGGTAAAGTGCGTGTTTTCTCAAATTCAAACCACGTGAAGACTTGTACTCAAAGGGCAGATGACTTTTCATTCCTAAAGATGAGTGGTACCTTTGTAAAACGAAGTAATGAAAATAACCAATCTGTTAGAGCAAGGCGATGGACCCAATTAAAAATGAAAACACTTCACACTGCCGCTCATTCGATGGTTTGTTGTAGACCAGATTTTCACCAAGTTACACTTAGATTTTGTTGTTGTTGCTTACAAGAAGCATATTTTTGGTAGCAATGGGACAATCTTGGCTAGAAATGGACTTGAACTTGATCCAAGCATACGATCTGAAGCCTCAGGAACTTGGGCGGTCATGTAGCACAGGCTTTGCGAAACAGGGGATTTACAAGAAGCCAAAAAATATATGAGCTATTAGTACTCATCGTAATTATTGAGATCTGTGAAGTAGGCATTGGAATAGGTCTTCCCAGTGAGATGTGGGTTGAAGTATTTGTTTCTTTCCTCCAGGATCAAGTTGTTCTTGTTAAATGCCTGTAAAATACATTTAAAAGCATTTCAGAATGCTAAGTAAGTCATATTTCAGAAGGAACACAATTAGGACTATTGTATTGAGTTTGATCTCTCCCAAGGAGAGCCATTACTTTTAAAAGTATGTTCACACTTATTGATTCCTCAAGTTATTTGCCTAATAACATCAGTGGACTCGGCTGTCTTTATTATCTTCCAATCAATTTTGAGACTTTAGTCAGAAAAGAAGTGAGAGAAAGAAAACCCAGATCTAAATCTCCAGAAAGTCTAAAACCCAAGTATTTTCAAGTTAACGGACTAATTATGAGTATTAGCACATATACTTAAGTCTATGCTAAAGTAGCTTTTGGATTTCCATGGATAGGGACAGTCATTGGCAGTATCTACAATGAATATTTAATGACGTAATCCTAATGCCAAATTTCTCTTCATTCTGCCCTCATCAGAAGGTAACCACCATGGCCATCTGTGACACAGATGCCCTGCCTCATTAACAGCCATTAAAGCCATCGCAAATTCCAAGAGCTAAGTCACGCCAGGTAGAGGTTAAGTATTGACAGGGTCAAGCTAAAAATGAAGCAGGGTAGACAGAAGTAAAAGATTTCCAGAATTATTTTGGGCCAGGTATTGGAAGAAAGTTTCAGAAGGATTCAACAAATCCTAGTCAGCTGTCTGTGCTCTTAAACATTTTTCCCTTCATGAAAGCCTTACATGTTTGCAGGGAGATTGGGTTTGAACTGAGTACTTTATACTTGCCAGGAAGACACTTAAGCAATGCCCCTGGTCCTTTTGCGTCCCTTGATTTTTGAATAGGGTCTCATGTTTATGCTGCTGTGGACCGTGATCCTCTCCTTAATGCTCTCCATGTAGCTGGAATAAGAGGGATGGATATCCCAGGTACAGTTGAGATGGAATCGCAGGAACTTTCTGACTGGGCTGGCCTTGAACTGCCTCAGAGTTACAAAGCTTACAGACTACACGATCATATGCTCTGCCACTAAAACAGCATTCTGATGAGCTATGGATGTTAGGTAGAAACAGACTCATTGTATTGTCTTCTGCTACCTAACATAAGGAGACCACAAGAGGTCTGGGTGCTGGAATCTCCCTGTGAGGAGCCTGTGCTGAGGCTCTGTATCTGTGCGGGTAAGAAGAGCGTGCTGGGTCTGTCAGCCTCATCCCGGCCCGTTCTGGAGACTCAGCCACAGCTGCTGTTTGCTGGGGTGAAACTGTATGGGTTGTTATACCCACGTGAACGATGCAGTCCAGGAGCATTTTTGAAAGAGAGGTGGCTAGCTCTTTCCTGACTCTGTCACCCTGACTGCAGTCCCCGGACTGGGGACTGCTTCCTGTTGTAAGATTTCTCCAGATTCAGAAATCGTGGATGAGGTGATCTCATACTTAATCTGTTGCTATTCATCTCCCTTTCTTCACTTACATTTCCAGGAGACACTATGTTCTCACACAGGCAAAGCAAAGCTAAAAATGCAGTTGATCTAGAGAAGGGCCCCTTAACTCATCTCCAACGCTATTCCCAGTGCCGCTGCCACTGCCACAGAGCTCCGGGTCCCCCTGCCTTCACTGCCAGTTCTTTACCTTGATGGCCTCCACCGAGTCATACTTGTCCAGTTTGTTGATATGGTTAGTGATGCTGGTATTGAGGGGCGCGGGGGAGACGGGGTGGATGACCGTGGCGTCGTGGGACTGCTGCTGGTACCGCTGGCAGTAGGTGTAGACAAGCAGAGTGAGCAGGCAGCCGAGGATGGAGCTGCTGAGCCCCACGGCAATCATGTGGAACATGTTGAACTCTGCGGGAGGGAGCAAAGTGAGACCACGCTGGAAAAGAACCTGCTACCTACCTAGCTGCTCCAGGCACTGGATGCAAAAACAAAGAGAAGCCCATGTGGATTCCTACACTAAGGAATCAGAGACATCTCCTGGGAAATGTCAGGGCCACAAAGAAATCTCTCCACAGTGAGCACTGTGCACACACGCGCTCGTGGGTTCAATGTCCATGCACTGCATTTCTAAGCCTTTCTACACCAGCAGAGGATTTTCTTTGGAGGCTTGTGTCACCATTTTTGTGTTTCAAGAGTATCACGATCGTTTCTGCCCTACAAAGCTCTCATGGAGCCGTGTATTTGGGTCCCTTAGCAGCTGAGCTTCTAGCATGCTGTAGCTGAGGTCAGAGGAAGAACCCACTGACTGCTTCCCATTCCTGCCAACCAGAAAGAAGCCCTCCTCTGTGAATGACTCCTTAGTCCTCTCTTTTTAAAAGTTATTTTGTTTTGCTTAAAATACTTCCTATGTACACGCATCCTGATGTCATCCACTCTACTGTTCATACGAGTATCGTACAATTTACTAACTTCATTGGGTCCTAAATGCAATGCAAGTCTCCCTTCCCTCCCCGGTGGCTTCACCCACGCCTGAGCCTTGCTGCAGATGGCCAAGACTGCCTGCTGTCTGCACGGCGCACCGTGTTTATACTCGCATACTTGTGATTTTATGAAGAAAATGGCGTCTTCCAAAGCAGCGCAAGATTTTTGCTAAAGAAATAAAACATCGTCTTTTCAGTAGCCACGAGGTAATTCTCTTTTGACCTGCTGCTTTTTTCTTTATTTACTTTCCATGAGAATAAAACATCCAAAAAAAAAAAAGGAGTTGCCTCAGCCTTACAACTCCAAAACAGGAATGGCTTCAGTGGTACAAAGTCTGGTAGAACCGACGCCTGAGCAGCCTCAGGGAAGAATGCAGGCCTCCCATGGGAAACACTACAGCCAATGCTCTGTATCTGGGTAGCAGCACATGGGCCAGGCCCAGAGCTGAGCTTAGCGAGAGTCCCAGAAAGCTAGACATACCTTCCCTATAGGATGCAATAGCATCATGTGAATATCTACCCATGGTTAGTACTCTCTGAGCCAGAGCACATCCAGGGGACACCCGGCATTCCCCAGGTGTCCCCTCCATACACCTTGGGATGCCATTTGGGAGAAGTCCTACTGTGTCCTGTCAGCCCTGGGCCAAGTATGGCTCTGGAGATGCCTGCTGGGCCTCCACATATGGTCCTGGTCATGGAGTAGAGCATGCTGGTTCGCAGGGAGAGGAGAGCCCTGAAGTGCCTGGAGGGCTGGCGTGTCGGCCACTGCGGCCTCCTCCCTGAGCGTTCACAGCTGCTTTTCCTGTGCTCTGGCATCCTTGTGCCCAGCCCGAGCACTTAGGAAAGTCAGCCACCAAGGCCCACTTGGCTGTAACTCTGGGTGTTAAGCTCATTAGGTTACTATTCACCAGAAGTCCAGCACACGCTGGGACTTCCCTTCCCAGGGGTCTGGCTGAGTCCTTCTTGCTCACCATGAGCCCTGGAGTGGCTGAGAGACACCACAGGAAGTCATGGGGGAGAGGAGTGGCTGCCACCCCCAACAGGTGAGAGGCCCTGGTTTCCCCGAACCCCTGAGCTTTCCCTGGGTGGCTTTCTACTCAGGTTTTCAGGAGCCTGGGGCTTTGACAGCTAGCCATGCCTCCTGAGCCAACGAAGCCACCTTCTCCTGGGTTCACTCACAATCCCCTTGTCAGCACTGCACAAGAGATGGTGCAGCTCCTAACACAGAGGGCTGGGCATCCCACGCTGGGCAATGCAGGGACGTAGTCAGCACGCCCCACAGTACCTACTTCACTCTTCCACTGCTAGCTTAGCAATCAACAGCAGCAAGACCGTGGAAGGACTTGCTTCACTGACCTCTGGCCTTTCCTTTCCTGGGTTTGTCCACAGATCCTCTGGAGACGGAGAACTGTCAGCTTGTGACAGCTGGGCTCTAGAATGTTTTGACTGTAACACTCACTGAAGCTGCACTTAAGGTAAGCAAGTGCCATTTCACTGGAGTTTTCATTTCTTTGTACTTTAGCTGTTAGAACTCCCCAGGGTCAGTGCCACATAGCGATAAAAAATACTTTCCACTGCACTGATAACTCATATTTCATCACAACACGTAGAAGATGTATGATGGTGTCCGTATGCAGACACTTTGTCAATAGTTAAATGAATCATGCCCGCAGGTGTCTGGGGACGCTGGGGCACCTGACATCTTTATGACAATAACGTAGGCTTTGTGTCTCCTGCAACCAAAAATAGCTAAGTTGAGAAAGCTCAACAGGGGCATATTTTCTGCAGAGGGAAAAATAGTGCCTATTAAATCTCTTTTGAATCTGTTTTACTGTGCCTCTTGCCTTTGAATATGCTTTTTTCCCCCTATGCTGCTGTTCTGGGGTCAATAAAAATGGAATAGAGACCAACAACCCAGTTAGTTTAAGAGAATGATCCCCCTCCCCCATCAAGTTTGGTTGATTTTTTTCTCAACAAGCTGAGCAAACATCTCTGTTCTCTTCCTACATATCCCCTGCCATGAGAGCTAGGTAATTACTTGTTTTCATCTCTTAGCCCTTCATTACAGTCTATCTGATCTCTTATTTGTTTTAGGCTGGAATGCCAACATCAGAAGCTTAAACATCGAAGACAACCCATTCCGAATAGCACGGCATAATTACAGTTTCTGTGGATTAGTCGATAGCATCCCCAAGGTTGGATCTGGCTTGGCTAGTAATGGTGCACAGGTGGTCACGACACCAAAAACAGTCTTCTGAGACATGAATGGGCTTTGCATGGGGCCTCCCGTATGCTCAAGGCATTGAATGAACTTAGTAACTCAGGGAGGCGTGGCCAGGGAAGTGAGGAAAACAAGCACAGAACAAGCAGTCAGTTTGGCTGGGTGACCCCCTCCGCGCCCCCGTCCCATCCTGGTCTACCTTGTCCTGCCTGAGGAAGGACACACACCTTATGAACTGTTCTGTTCCTCACTTGCTGGCTCCTGAGAGCACACATCACTGACCCAGGATGTCTCCTAGCTGGGACTGTGAGGATTGCTACCTGACCCATCTGTGGTACTCTGGCTGTTGCTCACTTCCAGGATCCCACCCGGATGCCCGTGTGAACTGTGGGCGTGGACCAATGGCCTCACCTCGTGGAGCTTGTAAGCAGATAAAAGGCAGGCGTCCAGTGCCTTTCCCACAATTCCTAATGGCACAACCGCTGAGAAATGGGCTTTTGCCACTCCTGGGGCAGGGCAGGGTGAGCTGAGCTGACTGATACTATCGCCCAGAATCTCATTTTTACCCACATCTCATGGCACCTCATTAAAGAGGTTGGTTCTATACAGCCTGGAATCTATGGAGATTACGTAACATACAAGCACAAGCCTCAAATCATTTTTCCGGAATCTGAAAGTATTGAGTAGTTCCAAAACCCTTCTCCGAGTCCAAGGCTGTTATGTAAAGAGCCGTGGACTGCATTATATGCAGAAATACTCTCTGTGAGGAGCAGAGGAGATGCTTTCTGCCCAAAGCATTTAATAGTCTCTGGCACATTGTGATAGAAACACTGGCCTCATGACCCAACTGACTTTGAGACCTGCGGATCCCTATGTTCAATGTACATTTATCACCAGGCATATGACGTTTGCAATCTAGAAGTTTCTTCAATGTGTCCTAGACCAACAGCAGAAACAGAACAGATGAAAGAAACATGGTTGGAGTCTGCAAGAATGCCAGTAAGAAAATGACCAGGAGAAGGAGCTTACCTCCACACCTTTTCTCTTCTACACTGCTGGATCTGGCCACAGATACTTCTGGGGAAAAGAAAAGTCCAATCACAATAGAGAAAGGCTATTGAGAAGGAAGTCTACACAGATGCTGATTGGTTTTTAAAAATACGTATTTTCATTTTTTTTAATCAACCTGAGATGCATCTAAGTTGCCTGCAGTAGGAAGGGGCGGAGAACTTCATCTCAAAAAGAAAATGTTGAAACCAGGGTACTCGCTCATTTTCTGTTTCTCCATATGTTGCTTGCTGAGGAGACCTTACTATGTTCTGGCATGAGTTTCATTTTACTTCATTTTCATAAAAGTCAATTTTGTCACACTGCTTGCAGAGGGAAAGATGTAGGGACCAATTTGCCGTAGCTCATAGGAAACAGCCATAACATTGGGCTGGGAAGGTGGCTCAGTGGTAGAGCGATTGCCTTGCATGCACGAAGCCCTGGGTTCGATTCCTCAGCACCACATAAGCAAAAAGAAAAAAGCCGGAAGTGGTGCTGTGGCTCAGGTGGTAGAGCGCTAGCCTTGAGCTGAAGAGCTGAGGGACAGTGCCCAGGCCCAGAGTTTAGGTCCTACGACCGGACCCAAAAAAAAAAAAAAAAAAAAAAAAAAAAAGGAAACAGCCCTAACAGAGTTACTATTCAGGAGTCCATTTGCCCCTTACCATGCTGCGTGTGAAATACAGAATCAAGATGCTAGTGAGAGGAAGTCCTTCTAGGCATTGTAACCCAAGAAATACAGTATTTCAGAAGTCTAGACATATAATGCTATCCTGTACTGATTTTTCAATAATTAAAACTATAACTATATGCAAAACGTTTTTGTAGTTCCATACCACACATGGTAGAAGTGCCTTACAAGGCAATAGTAAGTTGTTTTCTTTAGGTATTACTGTCTTTTCCACAAACAGAGGGAAATAACAAAGCAAATCTGGCTGGTAGAACCAAACTCTATCATCTTTGGTCAGAGTTTGTTCATCACGATGTTCTACAACACAGTCCCACGGAGCATGGCAGGTAATGGTAAATGATTTACTTATGTCCAAAGCACCAGGTCTCCTGGGCAAATATAAAGGGTGATTAGCACCCCATAAACTGGACTCCAATTTCACACTGCAAAGCCTGTGGCAAGAAGGTTAGCTAATTTCTCCTCCAAGATGTAAAATAATGGTAGGTATTTATTTCCCCCGATTGACTAAAGGTTACATGAAGAGAATGACCTTTCTTCCCTGCAAAATCGAGCACACACAGCATTGCCAAAGCATTTAAGACCAAAATAACCAAATAATCGACTTTCAATTTGAATAAAATATTCCGACTATTTTAATACAGTCAATAAGTATGCAAAGCATGGTCTCCACAAGTCTTAATCTCATGAGCTAAATTTCAAGTCTAACTCTGTGGTTCTCTACAGATCTATACTTGAACCACCTTGAAACCACAAGAGTTGATTTAATCATTTCTACTCTACCCAACACAGCCTCGGAGAAGAGATAAATCTCTGACCTACGAATCATTCTTACTCACTAACATTGGGATGATTTTGTTCACACTGATAAACATCTCTGCCCTCACCTGGGATGAAATTAGAGTCAAAAACGCATGGCCGGCTCTCTGTGGTGTTTCCGGAACACTGACTGCCCACGGGGAACAGAAGTATGCAGTGACGAGCTCGGATCTGGATGCCTGAGGTGTCACACGCAGACCAGTCTGACCACTCCGACCAGCTCTCTGCAGTGAGCAGGAAGTGACGGGGGAGGGTGGAGATTGTTACCAGCTTGGAAGCACTGTCATGTCAAGTCATATGTGTGTGTGTGTGTGTGTGTACACACACATATACATACATACAGTAGTTTTTCAACAGTTCTGTGCATAAATGTGATGCAGTCATACCTTCTGAACAATCCAGTAAAAACACAAGGATAAGCTCAAGGATGAACATACAAGATGGCTCATGCCTGTCATCCTAGCTACTCAGGAGGCTGAGATCTGAGGATCGTGATTTGAAGCCAGCCCGGGAAGGAAAGGTAGTGAGACTCTCGTCTCCAATAAAATACTCAGAAAAGGCTGGAAGTTGCACTGTGGGGTGTTAATGAGAAGTCTATCAGGGAAGATAAAACACTTTCTCCTCTGGTATAAAACAACTTGCACAGGAATATATCAAAGGTATGGGGCAGAATTCATTTTATTTCCAGCCTACGGGCTAGAGAGTGTGAGGTCAATGCACAAATCTTAGGTCAAAGCCAAAAGGAGAGCAATCAAAAGATCACTTCCTTCCAGAAGTGGAAGATTTGCTGGGATCTGCTTGGTTCCTTCAGGTGTGCAGGTGCATACAAGCACATGTGTGTAAGAACATGAAAACGGACGCCTCAAGATTGCTTGTGATATATTAAATGAAGTTAAAAAGACATTTTTATGCAGTAGAGAAGGGAGATTTAGGAAATCAACTTGTGTCTTGAACCAAGTAAAGGGAACCATTGTTCCTTCAAAATGTACAAAGTACTGGTGTTTTGAATGACTGAAAATCTGGCTTCACCTTTTCAGTAATGTATGAGCATGTCAAGGTGAGGGCGAGACCCAGAGAACAGTGGTACACTTTCCTCCACTTCTTGGGTAGAGAAGCTGCTGTAGCCCACCACCCTTCCTCCCTTCTCCCTAGACCCCCCCACCCCAGAGCCAGGTGATAGCAGCCCCTCTAACTGTGGGACCTGAGGCTACTGCTAGGATCCACAGCTAGCAAGAGCTCACCCTGCATCCCATCCTGACTTTCACCAACAAAATCTCAGATTCTACCAACAGACACTGTTTTAGTGTCACATGTTTTGTGGAAGCAGTCTCCACAGCTCGCTTCCCATGAATCCTCTGCTTTCTGTTCTGATTTCATTCATGCTTTATGCTTTCTCTTGAAGCAGAGCCACTGAAGTTCAGCCACTGATTCTGGGAAGATGGTTCTTAAGCAGTGCCTGCTGTCCTCTTCCACTATCTTAGAACTTGTTTCTAGAATGCCATGTTGGTGGTCATTGGAGGCACAGACTGGCCCCAGCAGGCTGTGAAACAAGAGGCTGCAGGCGATTCTCCCTACTCAGGTCTCTACACATAGCGGGGAGCTCCACAAATGCTTGTTTCTTTCTCATTTATTTTTTCCACACTCCCCTCTCACTCAACACAGTAGGGTGCTTACTTGAGAGAGGTATTAGTGCTAGTTAGCATGGCCAAGGCCAAAGTGGAGCACATTTCCTAGCTGCATAGTGGGGTGCATGAATATACCTCCCAGCTGACGTAATAGGAAAACAATGTCACCTTGAAGGCAGTGGTATGGGGTTGGCTTGCAACTTGCCCCATCCTCAGCAACTTCTCCATTTATAAATTGAGGACAGGAATGAGTTTATCCCTGTCATGCAGTAACTGCGGTGCTGCTCACCTGGACAGGGCTGTGTGTTACACAGAGCCTCTTCGGTGTGCAGTCCCAGGCAGATGTCCCCTCCGTAGGCTGGGGCCGGGTTAGTGCATGAGCGGGTCCGCATGTAGTGTCCTCCACCACATGTGGCTGAGCACTTTGACCAGGATGACCAGCAAGACCACATACCATCCACTGGAGAGGGACACAAAGCACACAATTCTGGAATCCAATCCTGCCCAATCTGCCACAGCTACAGGCAGATTCTGTGTGACAGAAGCACTGGCACCCATCACGACAAAGCCGAGGTCTTCCGCTGATGGATCAGTTGCAAAATCTCTCTCTACCTTAGCTTTCTTGCTTCTTTCTTTCAGGAATTTGCAAATATAGAACAGTAAAGCATGAGGATGACAGAAGAGGGTGATTCATGGAATACAAAATACCCAGGTCCTTTTCAGGACTCATATGATACACTACTTGAGGAGAAATAACCATCACATCTTTCTTCCCGTGAACTCCATGCTTTGTTCCCTGATGGGAGAATAGAGAATAGCAAACAATCTCCTTAAGAAGTTAACTGTGAAGGATGGTTTGGAAGTTCAGGCGCTAAGTAAACAAACCAAGTTCAACCACCAGGACTTTATGGAATAGGAAATCAGAGTTCAGGTTGGACGTTAAGCATGGCACATTACAGTGTAAAGGTTAGTTAGATGCAATTCCCTGGCCGAGCTTGTCCATAACTGCCCATATTCCTGAACACTCTCTGTCTGCTCATATAAGTCCCTGTCTCCACGAGGCTGGGCTCCTGCCTCATGGAGGCTGGCAGGTCCACCTGGATCTGGGAGGCTTTGGTGCTCAGTCATATATTTCTAAAATATAGAGAACTCACATTTCAACTCTAAAAATAGAGAACTCACATTTGACATTCATGATCTGCTGTTTGGTTAACTTCTGTCCCCCCAGCCCTACCTGAACATTGGTGAATTCCAGTACCTGACTTGTCAGAGGCAAGATAATATTAGATCCTAGTAGGATGCAAAATGATCATGCTCATGGCAAACCAAATTAAAAGGTGATGACAGATTCACTATTACCATATGTAGATAGTATCATATTTTGTCTTCTCATTTTCCTAAACAAACAGAAACAATCATAACTGGAATTACCACAATAATTCAGGACAGACGTAGGTTTTGGGTAGAGTAATCTACACTGTATTTTCTTATATCCACCATGATGTATGTAACACATCTTTATGGAGTACTATTTCTCTTTACCTATAGGTATCTTTGAGAAGCATGACCAAATTTTTAAAAACACAAGTAAAGGCATCATTTCTATGACAACACTTTTTATAAGTAAATTCAAAACAAATATATTTGAACCCAGTTAAAATGATTTTGCCAGCTAAATGGAAATTTTATAACGTAATGGTTTATAAAATTTTTTAAAAGAATTTAGCGCTAGGGGCTGGGAAGGTGGCTCAGTGGTTGAGTGCTTGCCTTGCATGCATGAGGTCCTGGGTTCGATTCCTCAGCACCACATAAGCAGGGGAAAAAAAAGAATTTAGCATTGCTCTGATAGTTAAAGAAGCATATTAGAATGTTGGAAGTATGAATCAAATATCTGAGACTGTTTGGAATAACAGCAATAAGAAGGCAGGAGGGTCCAAATTCCTTTCTCATCCCAGTCTTACTCATACTTTCTGGCAGGTGTTTTCTGTCCATGATCTGAGTTGAAGCTTGTACTGTGATGGCTATCCCTGTCCATCCTGTAGCCTAAGACAAAGTCTCATTGCCTCACAAAACTAGCTGTAACAGAGCTTTGATGTCCCAGTTCATATAAGCTAGGCCAGTGCTCAGAGGGTTGCACATGTCCTTTAGATGGGTCATAGCCTGGCTTACAACCAATCACATGTCCTGAAAACCCCTGTCTTTTGTATTATCTGATGAGTTTGCAGATGAATGACCAACAGGCATATGAAAAGATGTGTAGGTGGTATCACTAGTCATGAGGGAAGAAAAAAAATCAAAATCACAGTGAGATGCCATTTCATATCTGCTATGATAGCTAAAACAGAAGAGTGCTGGCATGGGAAATGGAGAAAATGCAGTCCTGGGTGCTGCTGACCGGACTGGGAAAATGGCACAGCTGATACAGACAACAGTAGAAGTGTTCTTCAAAAATTAAAGTGTGATTATCAAACCATCCATCAGTCTCAATTCTGGGTACACAAACAACAATAAAAAATTAGGATCTCTGAAACATAATAGCAAAACCAAGTTCAATATAGTACTATCTACAACATCTAATATATGGAAACAACTGAAATGTCAGTGTGAATGGAAAGGAAAATTTGATCCCTAGATACTGTGGAATATTATTGAGCCTTTAGAAAGGAGATGTGTTATATGCAACAACAGAGATGCATCTGGATAATAGTAGGCTGAGGGAAATAAGCCAGGCACACAACAGGTAGGCAAAAGTATGTACTGCACAAGACCACTTATATAGAGCATCTGAAATATGCTGTGCTCCTCTGTTTCTTTTACTTTGTTGGTCATGGGGCTTGAATGTGGGGCCTGGGCACTGTCTCTGAGCTATTTCACTTAAGGCTAGCACTCTACCACCTTGAGCCACAGCTTTACTTCCAGTTTTCTTGTGGTTAATTGGAGATAAGAGTCTCACAGACCTTCTTGGCCAGGCTCACTTTGAACTACAAACCTTAGATCTCAGCCTCCTCAGTAGCTAGGATTATAGTGTGAGCCACTGGTACCTGGCTTATGTTTCTTATAGAAACCAAAAGAAAAGAAAACTTTGGTTTCCAGGGGCAGGGAAGTTGCTGTAAAGTCTCAGTTATTCAAGATGTTAAGTTCTGGAGACCAGCTATATAGTGTTGGGCCTATAGTTAAATAAGGCTTTGTTGTGCACTGAAAAGATTATTCAGAGAGTAGATCTCATGTTAAATATTTTTTATATTATCATATATGAATTGAAAAAGGGGATTTCATCGTGTTATTTCTTTGTGTGGTATTTCCCTGTGTGCATTATGTTAATGACTGCTGCTACTTTTTCTTATCCCACTTTTCCGTCTTTTGAACAATTTTTAATGTGTCTCATTCTGCTTTCATACATGTGTAAGAAGCACTTCAATCAGATTCAACTCCCCTACCACATTGTTCTCACTGCTGCTGCCCATTTGTGGGGAGAGGTCTAGATGCTGAATATGGATGAGGACTGAAAGTATTTGTCTTTCTCACTCTGGGTTATTTCACTTAACCATCTCTAGCTCCATTTATTTTCCTGCAATGGTTAAACTTACTGTGGTATAAAAACACCACCAAAAGATTAATGTGCTTATCCTAAGCATTTCAAAATCATTTAAATTGTAATGATCTCATATGAAGAGACTGGTTTACATAAGTTATTCCATATTATTTCAAACCGTATTTCTTCTTATCTAGATTCCAACTAGTACTTCCCACCATTCACATCTCATCTTGTCTCAAACCTTTCCTCTGGGCACTGGGATCTCTTGATCCAAGTGTGAGCAGGATGAGGGAGTACTTGGAGCAGAAGCTGCCTGCTGATCACACTGGAGATTCATCCGTTTTTATTTCATTGTTTTCAGGAGTGTATTTAGTACATGGTTCTGGTAGCAAAGGAACTCAAAGGGGGATTTCAAGCACTGTCTCAGGCCCTGAGCCAGCCCCACTAGTCTGTAATGGCCCCAGATCAGTTGTAAACCTGTCTTCCTTCAAATTTGTCTGTCCTTGTGTTTTAGGGTTCAGACTACATCTTGGAGCAGTGATTCGGGAGAGGAGGATGGTGGAGGTTTGCACTAGGTGGAGAAGGATATTGGACGATGTACTATCAGTTCATCTCAGCAAGGACAGCAGAGTTCTAAAGTGGAAATTACAGGGCGCAATGAAATTGTTCTCACTATGGGTGAACACACAGACATCATTGTGGGGAAATAAGGCTTGTGGAATGAAAGGAACAGAACCAAACTGAGCCATTGGCCAACAGGCGCACACTAAGGAAGGAATTAGGCTAGAGCAACCACTACCACACTAACAAAAGGCACAGTTCCCTTTTATCCTCACAACTACCTTGAGGAATATTCTAGAAATGAATGACCCAAGGCCCAGAGAAGACAGGTCATAGAGCAAATGTCTTCACTCACTGAGATTCAGAAGAGGAAAGGCTAAACACAGAACCAGGTGCATTCCCATTTTGGGGTACACATAATTCCTGCCATTTTTAGGTCAATGGAGAATAAGAGTCACTGGTTCTTCACTTTTGGAACTAATATAGGAGATGGTACCAGACATCTAACCCTGGAAGGTAAAGAAATGATCATTTTAGTGTGATGGTGACTTACAGTTTTCATATCCATGAGAGTGAAGATGACATTTTTCACTGTTTGGTTAAATAGCTTATTTTTTAAAAAAAAGAATCTACAATGTCCCTTTGTATTTATGCACTGCTATCCGAGTAGGGTAAAAGAGGAGGTAATTTATAGGGAAGAGAATGACTTAAATGTGGTCAAAATAGCCCTACCACCCATCACCCAAGGTTGCACAGGTCAGCCTGCCTCCTGGGGCTTCCCAGCCCCTCCCCGTTTCTGGGTTGTATTCTCCCATATTTTTAGGAGTAGGAAGAGCTGACCTTTCTACCACTGAACCCTAAATTTGTCCATTCCCTTGTGGAATCGACAAAGCCATTCTGAGTAACTGCACACCACTGTGGAATCTTGGCTTTAGAAGGAAAACGGGAACAGAGCTATTTCGAGATATTCAGGTCATGTATACATAGTTATTGCTTGACCAGAATGTCAACGAAAATAAATACTCTACCCAGATAATGCTAACAGAGTGACTCTGAGCCGAACAGGGACTCTGCACACAGGCTCTAGGCAGCAGCTAAACTGTGGTCTTCTGAGTCTGAAGCCTGGGAAGGTGTGGGTCGAGGGCTGACACTCCCACACGGCCTTTCCTTGTGGGATTTACAGCATGACGCTAATCTGTGCTATCACTCACGGTTCTCGCCAAGAACCCTGGAGGGAGGAACCCTTCCACTAAGGCTGTGGGAAAGAACAGCTCAGTGACCTTTTCCAGTCTTTTGGCACTAGCTTAGGCTGAGAAAGCTGGGTGGGGAGAGGAGGAGTCTCCTGAGATGGCAGAAGTTCAGGCAGAGATGTTCCAGAAGGAGTGGCACAGCTGTACAATTAGCGGCATCACTGCAGAGCTGGGTTGCAAAACCAGGAACTGTTTCCTGTATTATCTACGTGTTTATCCACCCACCATCTGTCTGTCCATCTATCAATCAAACATCCATCCAGCCATCCATCCAACCAGCCATCCATATATCGAATCGTCCATCCAACCATCCGCCCATTAACAAATGCATGGTAAGTCCCTCAAGAGGGAAGTTACGTGCTCCTAGAACTCAAAGTGATGAAAGTCAGGCCCCACTCAGAGTGGCGGCAGGGGAGGCCTCCAGAGACAAGAGTCAGAATATTAAGAGGAAAAGAGAAAAGAGTCTTGAGGGTAGGGGGGACCCAAAGGACCCCAAGGGCTCATCTAGCTCATTTTAATGTCCAGTGCTTGTCCAGGAATTCAGTATCATGACAGCCAAGTTTCAGGAAGAAGGCAGAGACATTCAATTCTGCGTCCCCTGGAGAGAAGCTTGTGGCACTCATGACTCTGGATGGGGACTGGGTCAGATGAGGCCAGCTCGGGGATGTGTGGGTGCCCTCAGCTCTGGAAGGTGGCTGACGTTTGAATCAGGGATACCACACATCCCTGGAGACCAACCTCCCCCCAGTCACTGGGCCACTGCCCTGCCCTGGAAGATACTTTCTTAAAATTAGGAGAGAAATAATGACTGTAATATACGGTCTAGACTCCAATGTAACATGAAGGGAAGAGGCTTTGCTCCGGCCTGTGGTGGAAGTCACACTCTTCAGACATAGAGAATGGAGGCTACATTCTGGCTTGAAAAGAGGCTGAACAAAAATCTGGGGTTTGCATTCAAGTCACGTATCTAGGATAGGTAAGACTCAAGGACCCCTCCGACAGGCCTGTGTCCTCTCTCTCTCTCTCTCTCTCTCTTTCTTTCTCTCTCTCTCTCTCTCTCTGTCATGGTCCCTTTCCCACCTCTCTCTATTTCTCTATCCCTGTCTCTTTCTTCACTTTTAGTCACCTTAGGTAACAAGCTGTGTGAGTGTCAGTGCACTAATGGTCTCAGGTGTTTGGCTCTTCTAGACTTGCCTTTGCTAGGACAGGTGGCTTACCTGGGCAGGGTAATATGTTGCATTCCTGGTATTCCAGCGATGGGCCCAGGCAGGGCAGTCCCCCATACTTGGGCTCCGGGTTGTTGCACACTCGCTTCCTGTTCCGAATGCCCCGACTGCAGTCCCGGCTGCACTGGGACCAGGAGGTCCAGGCTGACCACGCCCCATTGACAGTGTGCGCAGAGTATCTCCCTGCACGCAGGAAGTCTCCAGAAAGCCCTGCCAAAGGACCAGAGTGTTATTCTACTGCAGTCCTCGGCCCCACGAGAGCGCATTCTGATTTCTTCCTCTGTATAGCTGGCATGTGTTATGTCTGGAATTACTTTCTCAAATTCAGTTGAACCCCTTTTTGCACTTCAAAAGCCAAAAAAAATTGCCATTGAGTTACAACCCCCTATAATTCAAGCTTCCTCCCTGCAGTTGCTATTCAACAAGGGTGCATATAAGAACTCCACGAGTGTAGCAAACCTTACATAACGGTCTTCTATTTGTAGTTCATTTTTTCCCCTACTTCTTAAGGAAATACACTTCTCTCGTTTCCCTTGGGAATTCTACCAAAAGAAAAGGTCCTCATATCCCACAGGGTGGTGTTTCCCAGGAGGACAGCCACCTAGAACAATGGGGGAATAATTTAGCCATGCCTCAAACCTGTTCCTTCACCAGATAGCCTGTCAAGTGTGAACTAATGCTTGAATCGCAGGGCACCAGACACCTGTCTGCTCCACGGGCCCCAAGGCTTAGAAGTGAGCACGCTCGTGTCCTTGACTCACTTAGCCACAGACAGAGGCATCTGTGTACACCACCGTCTCTGCATATGCAATACCAAAATACGTTTTCCCCAGAACCAATGGAGCAGTAGTAACAGCAGCATTCGAGGGACAGCGCTGTGGATGTAGCTGTCTTACAGGAGTCCCGTGAACAGCCTTTCAAGATTTACTAGGTGCCATGTCTGTTCAGAGCGTTTTAACAGAAGTCATTGACTTTGTGTTTGCTTTGATGAAAATGCCTCCCTGCTCACAATATGAAAAAGCATTCAATAGTTTTCTCAAATGTGGTCACCGTGACACAGTTTTAACAAACACCTCCCACACTGTGCAAGAAAGTTCTGCATTTTACTGCTCAAGGCCATGAGGGAGGAAATAAGACACCGATTCCACACATGGCTGAGCAGCCTGGCCGCCACTTACACCAGCCTCTGAGGTGGGGGCAGCATGTTCTACAGAGCAAATGCACTGCAAGTGCTTTTCTGTGATGAGCCACTACTTGTGAGTAATCAATAAAGAATAAATAGGCTCGGTGAAGCCTCATTTTGCACAGTCAAAAGGAAAAACAAGGCCTATTTTTAACTTTTCAAGATAACAACACCAAAATACGAAGATAGCCATTATTACTTAATGTCATTAATGGACAGGAAGAATGAACTTTTTTTTTTTTTTTTTTTGGGGGGTCCGGTGGTGGGGCCTGAACTCTGGGTCTGGGCGCTGTCCGTCAGCTCTTCAGCTCAAGGCTAGCGCTCTACCACTTGAGCCACAGTGCCACTTCCGGGTTTTTTCTTTTTTGCTTATGTGGTGCTGAGGAATTGAACCCAGGGCCTCAGGCATGCAAGGCAAGCACTCTACCACTGAGCCACCTTCCCAGCCCCAAGAATGAACTTCTTTATAAGCCAGGTCCATGATACAATTTTGGAGAACATATAACACATCTTTATAAATGTGTATTAAATAATTTCCTACTTTGTATTAATATTTAAAATAAATAAATAAATAGGCTTTATAAGTAACTGAGCATGAAAAGAATAAAAACGTGTAAATCCTGGAAAAAGAATAAAGTTATTTATAGAAACATAATTCCTTTCTACTTTTTCTTGCATGACACAAGAAACAAAATAGTTCTTAGCCTGTTTTGAAACAAGGGAGCCAATGGCGAGAAGCCACAGCAGCTGCTGCTTCTATATATCTGGCTGTCAGACTTAGCAAATGAAATAAAGCAATGTCAATTTAATGTGAATTTTAGGTGGAAATAACATTCATGCATTTTTACTATTTCCCAGGTACTCTCTCAAATGATTGCAATGGGCCTAGTCTCTTACTTAAGTGTTTATTGCTTGGTTGGTGGTGCTAGGGATTGAACTCAGAACCTTGTCTTGCTGGGTGATGCTCTACCCATGCCCCACTTCCTTTGCTGCTAGACAGATCCTTTCATAGGTATGAACAATGAAATGCGCTTCTACCACCTTTGCCCATCCTGGGGATTAAGAAGACAACTAAGCTTAATTTTAATGCCAGAGCCTCTGTGGATGGTTCCGATTCTTCCTCCATCTACTCTTTCGTTCCAACAACACTGGCTCCAACTATTCTGAGTCTACAATAAGCACCATGCTATTTGGAAAGCTGAAAAATTTCACAATACCATCGCCATACAGAATTCCTTCCCTATCACTAATTAAATTTCCACTTGTTTCAGCTACCTGTAGTCAGTCGGGATCCCAAAATACCAATGTCTGTCCTGACTCTTACAGCAAGAGACAACATTCACATAGCATTGGTTACGGTGTAGATTTCATAAATGTTTTGTTTTATTACTCATCATTATTACTCTGACTGTATTAGACCTACTTCATAGGCACGTATGTGTATGTGTACGTATAGACTGGGCTGTGTACTATCCAGGCTCTCAGGCCTTTCCTTGGGGTTTTCAAAAGTGTTCTCATGAATTAGGGGAGCTGTGGTGTGAAATGAAATTCTTACAACAAGAACCATTCCCTCAAGTCCTGTGTCTGCGGGGATCATGGTGATAAAGACGGTCATGGCCATAGCAACACTAAGGAAATGTGCTGTTGGTTCTTCCATAACCTTTCCCATGCTGTCATGGGTGTGTGCAGAGGGTCAGGCTCACCATCCGTGGAGCAGCCGCTGGTCCCGTCGCTGGAGCAGTAGCGCATCTCGATCCTCTGCCGCCCGACCTCCAGCAGATTCGGGTCGGGCAGGCGGGCTTTGCAGGTGTAGCGGAAGCGCTGCTCGTAGTGGCCGCCGTTGTCTGAGATGTTGACTGGGGTCCAGGGTGTCCAGGGCGTGGTCTTCTTCAGCTCCGGACACGCGTTGGTGTTACAGGGCTGGTACTCCTGGGAGAGAAAAATGCATAGCGTGTCTCACAGTGAGGTGTGAATGTTGTCATCTCGGGGGCTGATTTTTTTTTCTTTTAAGGGAAAGTAAGTTTCTCTAGACCCTTCATATCCTGAGACAATTAAAAGCACGTTCACATTGGACTTGACATCTCCTAGAATGCTCTGGACCAATTGGCTGGGGAAGGAATCTGCAGTTTTCTCACCAGGAAACAATGAGAATGACACAAAAACCAGTTACACATCAGAAACAACATCCCCACTCCATAAAATCGTCTTCCTTTCACTTAAAATGAAAGATGCTGGTTATTTTGATGTTCAGTGTGGCTGTTTTCTTTAGAGGATTCCATAAGGGAACCAGTTTATGGTTCTTAGGCAACATAATACAATTTCACGACAATGGATATTATAAATCCTGGAAGCACAGATTCAAAGTTTGGAGTGTCCAGTTACCAACCTGACAGTACAGTACCTGATGTGTATTGCACTGTAACTGCTCCATCATTCCTCCCTTGCTTAACCGTGATTTTCACAACCTCTTCTCTCCTTTCCCTCCCAGATGCTTCCCTTACAACCTCAGGTAGGAGGGTCCCGGGAACAAACCAATTTTCATACGATGGGCCAAAACTCCCTACGAAAGCCTCCAGCCCTCCACTCTAACTATAAGCAGAAAACCACGAATGCCCACATATCAGAAGGAAGCATCCGTGGTGAAAGCCAGTGACACAAGCAAGCTAAGAGAAACCAGCAAGTTGGAGGTTATAGGAGCCATGAGAAAAAAAAAATCTCAAAAGTCATCAATGTATTTAAATTACATAATTTTGTGTAACCAGGAAACCAAAGGTAGAATGTGTTGTTGACTGAAGGAAATGAAAAACCATAAAAGATTACATGGGCTTTTGAAAATTTAATGAAAAGAGATGAAAATCCTATGAATACTTTTGGAAGGTACTGATAGGAAAATCTCCTAGAAAGCAGAGCATAAAGAAAAAAGAGATGAAAAATGAGACTAGAGAGAAGAAATTCAAAATTGACTGCACAGGTCCATATCCCAAAATTGACTGCACAGGTCCATATCCCAAAATTGACTGCACAGGTCCATATCCCAAAATTGACTGCACAGGTCCATATCCCAAAATTGACTGCACAGGTCCATATCCCAAAATTGACTGCACAGGTCCATATCCCAAAATTGACTGCACAGGTCCATATCCCAAGGAAGTTTGAGTAAGTAACTGGAGGAAAATAAATGCTGAAGAACTTAACAAAATCATCCACAAATTTCTAAACCAAAAGTCTTAATTTGTAAATTCAATAGTCCACAAAAATCACTCATATTTAAGTTCATCATTGTTTCAGCATGATGTAGAAGATTCTGTAAGTTTCTGACAGATCTTTTTTAATGTCACAAGTAAACGAGATAAAAAAAACCCAGAGCAAACTTTCTATTTCTCAAAGGAATCCCTAGTAGGTAATACTACGTAATTATACTCAATTCTGAGTATAATTATTGCAGCCTAAGACTGCTACCAAATTTTAAGTCAAATACGGGGGAGGGGGGTAGTATAAACATGGCGATGAGGAAGAAGCTGCGTCACTCATGTGCCTTGTACATCCATAATCAGAAGGATACTGCAGGATGTGCACCAGCAAAACCAAGCTCGATCCAGAAGACGAGGACTTGCCATACAAGAAATAAGTCTGCACACAGGGAATAAGGGAAAGGAACCCCAGCACTCAGGTGCTGAGAAACCCAGGAAACAATATTTGCCAAGTTTAGGAAGCAGCCAAGCTAGTTTGGAGTAGGTTCCCTATTCCCCAGTGGGATTTCTTTAGCCATTTGTGAGTAGTATCACCCCTGTCCAGACTGAATAGCTGCTGGATGGCGAATTAATGGTAAATTCATAGAACTAAAGAAGGATCCCCTCCCGATGAGACAAGAAACAAGTTAATCCCTCCAGGATGGGTGAGTGCTCAGTTTGTGATATGTGCAAATACTCTATTGTGATCTAACCAATATTACCGTACATACTAGAAAACAGCATATACTAGTTGTTAGCTCTCTGGATATAAGTGTAAGAATATTCAGTACGGAGAATTAGGGAAAAAGTTAAGGAGTTCTCTTATTGTAGAAAAAAAAAGCTCTGAGAATGACTTAACTAGGACTGAATGAATGTTTCACGTTGATAAAAAATACTGTTTGACCTGAAGCTTGCTAGACAACTCAGGACCTTGAAGACTTTCCAGCCCTCCTCCCCGCCTGCGTGGCAGAGGCTGAGCCTCCTCAGAGAGACAGAGGAGGAAGACAGCTCAGCTGCTGGTGCCCACAAGAAAGCCATTTTCTTCATTAACCCTTTCTAGTCCCACAGTCCCTGTTCAACTGAGTCTAGCGCCTTGCTGTCCAGGAACTCTCTGTTTTCATCTCCAGAGAACAAAATTGCCATTCTCTGTTGGCTCCTTGGTGAGGAGGAAAACAAATCTTCAGGTCTGAAAATGTCTGAAATAAAAGACAAACTTTTCTTTGCCACTAAGAGAGAAAGGAGGGTCATTGCTTCTTTACTCTCTGAAGTCTAGGGTACAAGAGGAAATTATTCTTATCATCCCCGAACTGAGGGTCGTCAAGACCACTTCTGGCTTCTTCAAGCAGCTGCTGCATTCCCAGGACTTAGCATGGCCAGAGTCTCTGCTGTCACTTATTCCAAGCAAAGGGTACCAGGCACCATCAGCAATGGGAAGAGAACATGGGTGAATTCTCCATGCAACCAGACTTTCCTAATAGTTGTGTTGACTCTTTCCTGTGCAGTTCCCTTTACTAGTCTTGTGGATTCCTTTATCCTAGTTCTATTTTATTAAAAAGTAAGATCTAGTTATTCCTCCCCTCAGTTTAATTTTTATTTTTGTATCTTTGGGTCCTGATGCCTTGAACAATCTATTGTTCTAATACCACATTAGTGTTTTCAGTAGGGGGAAAAAGGTAACCAACTTTGTGTCTGTTCTGCCAGTCTAACCTGAAGCCTAACACAATAATTTCACCATTGTTTCTGCTTTCTCAGTCAGTGTTATTAACTTATTTGTCAGAACTGGGTACTGAACTTAAGCTTGCAAGCAAGTACCTATCACTTAAGCCAAATTCCCAGTCCAACTAGATTTCTTTATTCACAATGTATCTTTTTTATTTCCTACAATGAGCAATACTTAGAACTTTTTTATGCTTGTAACATCATTGGAATATAATAGAAAAAATGTAAAGCAATCATGGCTGCTTCTATTATTTAGTATCTTCTACCCTTTCCCCCTGACTCACACAACTCCCTTCCACCAACACCAGAAAGACAGATGACCTCATTTTCCACTGTAGGCAGCATCTTTTGTTATATCACTTTTTGGGCACTGCTTTCTCTTCACTTTCCATCTTCTCTCCTCTCCTGTGTGTGTTGCGTCTGTCTGGGTGTGCAGTGTATTGCTGGGGATAAACCCAGACCTTGTTCATGAAGACAAACACTGTACCATTGAGCATATCACCAGTCAACATGTCATCTTTTCTGTGGAGATGAGGGTTACTTTTCCAAAATCTCGAAGTGGTAAAGGTGTCTGAAATCTGGCTCTGTGTCTGGGTTGGTGTCCTGGTGCTGGTATGAACAGGACAGAGTGTCACATGTGCCAGGGGTGTGGTAGGCCCAGTTCATGGAGGATGAAGACTGATCCCAGCTCCTAAGAGTGGATCCTCCAGGACCTGCCTCTGTTCAGCGATGCGGCTCACAGATGCAGCCCTGTCTCCTCATGTCCAAGACATAGCTGTCAACTCAGTACTCCTTCCAACTGCTTTTAGGGGTGGATTATGAGGCACTAGCTTTAAATATCGAATGATGAGACTGTGAGAAGTGACAGGGCCTATAATCTGACTTTATGTCAATGACCAAAATTATGAAGTAATTCAACTCAGTTGGGACCATGTAGATGGCCTAGCTAGACGTGTAGACTATGATGTGCTGGTTTATTGTTGCTGTCACTGGCCAGATTTGAGTGGAACATGAACAGAATTGCATTGGATATGAATAAAAACAATTTCATTAAAAACAGTTTTAGGGAGCTAATTACTATTATTTTCCACATAGGATCCTTAATATTCTGCTGGAAATTATTAGATAAGAACTATAAGAATATATACAAGTGAACACATTTGCTCATGATGTGTGCTGTCTCTCCCTTCCTCCTCTGCCACGTCCTACAGGTGTGCTCTCTCGTGATTCCCTCTCTCTTCTCATCCAGGCTACTATCACCACAAGCCTGCTTCTCGAAATTAATGCGTGCATTTGAGTGAAGCTTAGTGGTCGGAGTCTCTGTGGGTTTCACACAGGAGTAGACACCAAGTGTATGAAGGGCAAGAATACTGTCCTATTCATTTTATATTCCCAACTCCCAGCACAGTTAATGCGCTTTACTTAGTGGCTGGATACCTTGTATTCATCGAGTCACAGCCTAGCCTATTCCAGTGGGGCTTGCAGGCATTTGGAGAGGGACTTTAGACTGTAAGCTGGAGTCTCTGCTTTGCTGTTTAGGTTTCCTTTGAACCTTCTAAATGATTTCATCTTTTACAGATTAAAAAGTAAAAAAAGAGATGGAGAGAATCCAAGCAGAATTTTGATACCATATGCTCAGCACAAAGTATGGAAATTGCCCTCCAAGTCATTTCATCAATAGCTGAATGGATAAACCAAGTTTATTCTCCTACGGAATACTGATAGTTTCCATATGCGCATATCAAGTTCCCGCTCCGTAATTAAACTTGGCATGCCGAGCTGGAAAGCCATCCCACATAAAAGAAACAACAAAGTAATTGAATTGTGTACGCAGAAGGCCAATGTGCCGCGGCATATGGGGGGAAGGAGAGGTGGGATCCCAGGAGTCTGTGACAGAAGGAAGTTCTGGAAAGCGGTTTGGAGGCAGGTAAGGAGGAAGACAGGTAAAGGAGGGTAGTGGGGTCAGAATCCCATGCCCTC